AATAATAGTCTTAAAGGATGGAAAAGTAAGTAGACTTGGGAAATATAGTATGATTACTGAGCAATTGTTAGAGCCAACTTGAAGTTAATGATCAGAATGAGTATGTTTTGTAGTCACGACACATACTTTGGACAGTTATTTTAACTTGAGATAAAATCCATATATAATAAATAGATGTTCTTTTTAATATTTAACTGCAGACTAAGACCTGATTTTAGCCTCAGGGTTAGAAAGTATCCATTTTCAAATGTATAATTGAGTTGTGACTGTATATTTTTATTTTGTGGTTATTTAATTATACTTGTCTTATCTGGAAGGGTAAAGGTAGACTCCAGAGAATCAGCTTATATTTTTATTTATACTGAATATTGAACTCATTCCAATATTCAGCCTGAACTCGTTGGTGACCTAACATGTCTAGCAGGTTTTAATATTTTTCAAGGGTGTGCATGTTTAATATTTACATATACTTACAGGTAAAATTAATGTGAACGATGAATATCAAATATGCACCAGGACTTATGCTAAATATAATGCTATTTTTACTCTTTTTTTTTTTTTTTTGAGTTGGAGTCTCACTCTGTTGCCCAGTCTGGGCGACAGAGTGAGACTCCAACTCAAAAAAAAAAGCAACTCTGTAGGTCAGGTGTGGTGGTTCAGCCTTTAATCCCAGCATTTTGGGAGGCCGAGGCGAAAGAATTGACTGAACCTGGGGGTTCGAGGCCAGCCTGGGTGACTTGGTGAGACCTCGTCTCTACAATAAATCACAAAAACTAGCTGGATATGGTGGCTTGCATCTGTAGTTCCAGCTACTTGGAAGCTGAGGTGGAAAGATTTCCTAATCCCAGCAGATTGAGGCTGCAGTGGCCGTGAACGTGCCACTGCACTCCAGCCTGGGCGACCAGAGTGAGACTCCAACTCAAAAAAAAGCAACTCTGTAAAGCAGAATTTTTATCTGTTTTGTTCACCTGTATATCGCAGAGCAGTTCCTTGATCGTAATTATATATTGAATGTATGAAATTTTATTTTGGAGTGGATGGGGGAATGAAACTAGGACTGACACTGTAACTAAACACTTTTCACTTTATCATCTCACTTATTCTTTGTGATATACCTATGCTAGATTCTATACTTATCTTTATTTTATGTTTAATTGAGGTTTAGAGAAGTGCTCCTGAGGTCATTGGATAGCAAATGATAGGAAGACTTGAACCTACTTTCTTTACTTTTAAAGCAACTGCTTTAAAACCTATTATTTCAATTATGATTTTTGGGTGCAGATTATAGAAATAAATTTGAACTTAATTAAACAAAAAGGAAAAATTGAGTACAAGATACAGGAGTGTCTTATGAGTGCCAATGGCTATGCAACTGAGTTCAAGATTGGAGTGCAACCAGAAAGCAAACACTATCAGAACCCAGGGAGAACTCTTTCTGTATATTTTCTTAATGTTTCCTTTTCAGTTGTCTGCCTTTCTGTACTGTTCCTGTGATATAGTTTACATGTGTGTCCCCTTCAAATCTCATGTTAAAATTAGATTCTTACTGTTAAAGTTTAAAAATCGCCTACAGGAAGTGATTGGGCTATGGGAATGGATCCCTCATGATTGGCTTGGTGTCCTCTCTGCTGTAATAAGTTTTTGCCGTATTAGTTCACATGAGACCTCGTTGTTTAGAAGAGTCTGGCATACCTCTCTTGCTCCCTCTCTCACCATGTGACACATCTACTCCCTCTTTGCCTTCTGCCATGAGTGGAAGTTTCTTGAGACCTTGCTAGAAGCAGATGCTAACACTATGCTTCTTGTACAGTCTGCAGAATCATGAGCCAAATAAGCCTCTTTTTAAAAACAAATGACCTAGTCTCAGGTATTCCTTTATAGCAATGCAATATGGACTAATACACCCTTGCCTCTCCCCTCCACACTAGGGGATTTACTTGTTCTAGCACCAGCCACCTACAGAGGTCACCAACTGGTTATCACTGAGTCCTATTCCAGACTGGCAAGACTGTTCAAGCTTGTATCAGATGTTTGCTCCTACTCACAGGGACTATGGCCAAGGTACTGGATTCCCAAAGTATGACAGTGACTGCAAAAAGACTACTTCTGTGAATTTGAGGATAGTTCTTTAGCTGGGCACACACCACAGTGACACAGTGATATTCTATCTAGCTAAATTATTTTTAAAAACTTGTTTTCAAAATAAAACAGGAAAACACTGGGTCTATAGAGTGTGGAGGAGAAAAAAATCTCCTTTGTCTATGATGTGTAATAAATACATTTTTATGTTGCAACTCAATGTTTATAACACCGAGAGTAAAACACAATAATACGAAATCTTACTATATGTAAGATAGTCTCATATTTTCTCTTTTATCTTTCATTTAAGAAACTTTTGGTTTTTAAATCTTTTTAATACAGTGTATTAGATTCAGAATCCAATAATGGATTGTGACCTACAATTGGAAAGATACTGCTTCACTCTACACCCAGAGGGTCCTAGATGAAAAGGTGTCCTTTGAGTTCCAGTCTTTGTCATTGCTTTAAAAGTGAGGCTTCCCTGTTGTAAAATACCACTTGTCATTTAAGTAATTTCAAGATTGACCTTCCTTGAATTAAGCTCTTTTTTAGGGAAAAAAACTTGTTAATAGTATTTTTCAGAGTGAATTAGTATTCAGATTTATTTCTATTAATGACAGTATAAAATAATCATAAAAATCTCAGTACTCAGATCATGCCCTATTTCCCCATTTACTTTTTTAAAAAGCATTGTGGTAAGCTGCTAGATAAACAACGTCCTATTCTTAAGAATTCTGCATCTCTAAAGCAGGTTTTGATGTTTGGTTTTATAACATAGAGGGAAAGATAGAAATGAGAATCTCAACTTTTTATTTTCACTTTAAAAATTGAGGCTAGAGAACTGAAAGAAAACACCAAACCAGTCTTCAGTAGGCTTAAGTTAAGGTTTTATTTCTGAAGGCTAGTAATTATTTGGTAATTCCAATTATATGAAACATGTCAAGAACTTGAAAGTAAGGTAAAGAAGATCATATTTGGCCATTTTAAACATCAAATAAAACCCATAATACTCAGCCCAATTTACTGAAGGAATGACTCTGTTTATTATAGTATGAGGAAGGCCAAATCCAAAGTTTTATTGGGGAGTAGGAATGAGAAGGGCAAACATTAATTCATTCAGCAAACACTTATTGTATTCCTATTATATAGAGAGTTTGCATTTGTATTTTCTTTCCAAGAGGAGAATGAAGAGATAGGGATTTTATTTCAGACTTGCAAAGTCTCTACCCTAGCTTCTCTTGCCTCTTTCTTACCATAAAGAAACTTTTTGCATTTAATCACTACCAAATTGACAAATAGAGTGTAATAACCCTACACTGAGATATAGATGCTGTGATAGTTAACTAGATTCACTCATTTATACTTTATAAATTCTTTATACTCATAGTCAGCTTCACCATAATAAGATTTTTGGAGTCTCTTGAAATCCAAATTAATGATAATAAATTTGTGAATGCCAAGGATCTACCATATTAGGATCTAACTAGTTTTTCTGATATTTGAAATACAAGCCTTGTTACTGAAATTATTATGCAACTCTAGAGAGAGGCTGAATTTGTTTTCTTCCCTTTTGCTCTAGGTGGTTGGAAATGGGAGAAAAGATCTGAAGGGACTGTCCTGTGCTGCTTCATTCCCCATCTTCTCATACCATCTCTGGTTATCCTTTAGACACAGGATTGGGTGGATTCAGGATATACCCACCTGTCTCATTACCTTTCACTGGCAGCAGCTTTATGTCTGTGTCCAGTTATTTTGTTTTCTCTTATCCTGCTGAAGATGTCTGTCTGGGAGAACCTTCTTATAAGTGTGAAGGAGTCCTTCTTGCGTGTCATTGCTGGTCTCTGGCTGCAGTTCCTTTTTTGTCTTATTTGTGCGTAACTTCACCCAGTTCTACACAGTCCTAACCCTATTTTTATCTTCTTTGACTTTAGGGATAAAATATATCTCTTTTATTTTGTAGGAGAAGATTTCTGCCTCTTTTTATTTTTATTTTTTTTAAGTCAGAGTGTCACTCTGTCGCCCAGGCTGGAGTGCAGTGGCACGCTCATGGCCACTGCAGCCTCGATCTGTTGAGTTCAGGCAATCCTTCGGTCTCAGCCTTCCAAGTAACTGGAACTACAGTCGTGCACCACCATACCTGGCTAATTTTTATGATTTATTATAGAGATGAGGTCTTGTGAGATTGCCAGGCTGGTCTTGAACCCATAGGCTCAGACAATCCTCTTGCCTCAGCCTCCTAAAGTGTTTGAGATCATAGGTGTGAGCCATTGTGCTCAACTCCTGCCACTTAAATCTGAAGGAGTTAAAACTTTTTCAAGCCCTAAATGAATTATTCTTACTTTTGGTTCAGCACAGAATTCTTAGTTATTGTTTAATAACTGTGCTAATCTTGGTGGGACAGGGCAAAGAAAGGACATTAGAGAGTAAGGCTTCCCCCCAATACCCTTTTATTTAATTCAGAGAAAATATGTGTATTCTCTAACCTTATTTGTCATGATGATGGGTAGTAGGATATAATTTTTTCTGTCTTTGAGTAGAAGTTTTTAGGAGAAAAATGCTTCTTATGTTCATAATTAAGCAACTAGAGAAGATTCTTTTACACAGGAAAGAAGGGAAGAATTTCTTCCCTTCTTTCCTCAATGAACCTTAAACCTTTGTTTTCAAGCTAAAACTGTAAGAAGTTCAGCTGTATATGATAATTGGAGCTTTTATAGTAATATATTTGAATCTCCAGTGCCGGCTGCAGTGACTCATGCCTGTAATTTATTTGTTGGTTAGTCTGTTTTTCAGGTGAAGTAATAGTTTTATTTGAATTCTTTTCTCTGTTTTAGGATTTCCTCATCACTCCCCACTCCCAGGAGTCACTTGAGTAGTAGAAATATGCTTGCCTATTACTAATTGTGGTTTTTCTTTAACAACAGATTTATACCTAAAACTGGAAGATGTGACTCATAAATTTAATAAGCCCTGTATAATGGATGTAAAGATAGGGCGAAAAAGCTATGATCCTTTTGCCTCACCTGAGAAGATTCAGCAACAGGTCAGCAAGTACCCATTAATGGAAGAAATTGGGTTCTTGGTGCTTGGCATGAGGGTAAGAGTGTACACACATTTCTCTTTACGTATTTTTCCTTTGAAAATTGTGGATGTCATTATAACACTAATAAATCAGAAGATAATATATTTTTGCATTGGGTTGTCCATAACTCCCCAGTGTGTAACACTGTGAGGGCAGGGATTTTTAAATCTTTTTTTGTTCATCTATATATGGTCGGTTTGTCTAGTCTTGGCATATAGTAAGTTATTAATAAATGGATGGATGACTGAACCTGAAGATTATGACTCTGCTTATTTTGTTTTAAAGAAGACTTAAGTTTAGGCACAAAATGAGTATTAAAAGTAAATGTGATATTATTTATGATTTTCCATGAAAAAAGTGCTAAGTTTCTATTTCAGTAATTTTTCTATATTTTCAAAAGATAAATTAAAATTAGGTCTTTGTTTTAAATTTTATGGTTTAAAACAGTTTTTTTTTTTTTACAATTCTGTGAGTTTGCAATTTGAGCTAGGCTCAAGTGGACAGTTCTTGCAGTGATCTCATCTAGGGTTTTTCATAGGGCTTCAGTCATCTGATGTCTTGACTGGGTCTAGATGGTCTAAAATGACCAACTCTCATGTCAGGAAGTTGGTACTAACTGTTGGCTGGGCCGTTTTCTATATGGTCTTAGCTGTCAGAAAGCTGACTTGGGCTTCTGTATTTTGCTGTACCCCATTCCAAGAAGGTGAGAGTAAGAGCTACATGAATTTCTTGTACTCTGGGTTAGGAAGTTACTTGCTGTCACTTCTGTGAAATTCTGTAGGTCAGAATCTAGCATAGGGCCAGTCCACATTAATAGAGAGGGGAATAGATTTCACTTTGATGGTAGGAAAAGCAAAGTCACAGCATGAACAGCAGTGAGCATGACAGTGGGAAAAAATTGTTGAGACCAACTTGAAACAAAAATACCACAGTAAAGATATAATGTGGAATAATACTCTCTAAACAAATGCTATGTCTTCTAGACATGTGGAGGTAAAATTTTTGGATAAACCAAATGCTTGTTTACTTATGTAAGCATAATTAGTTTTGGAATTCACATAAGATGATACATAGATCTTCCTTTTTAAGTTTTACATACAAGAGCTAATAAGAAGCATTATGCATAAATTGTCAATGTTATGGTAGTAATAGTACAATTCAATTTGATATTTGGTTTGTAAATAAAACCAAGAAGTTGTTCAAGCAGTTATTTCATTTTAGAAAATTATAATTACAGGAAAGGAAAAAAACATAGTGGAATAATGTTAAAACAAATAAGAAATATATGTCCTGCAGAAATCTGACTGGACAACTTTTTAAACCTTCGCTGTTTTCAAATCTTTCATCATTACCTTTTAAAATGATTATACCTCTAATTTCTTTCTCTCGTCTATTTTCATTTGCTGTTAACCCCAGAATAATATTAGCTAATAATAAAATATATTGTGGTAGAATACTTTTTTATAGAAGCTTCTTATAGTTTAACCCTCTCAGAGACATCTCACATATCATTTACCAGTAACTCAACTGTACTTTTTTTACAAAATAATGAAAAGTGAATCATTTCATATTAAATAGTGTACTGTTGAAACCAGTTATTGTATTGTAATGATATTTGGCTTATAATGGAGTTTTGGACATTGACCTTATTTATGACAAATCAAAATTTTATATCATATTTTTCTAGTATGTGGTAACGTGTGAAATAGTCACTGACATGCATTGCAGGTTCATTGACACATATTGTCCAATAGTAATTTGTTGGACATCTTCCACCTGCTCTTTTTCTATTCAAGAAGAAAATTCAGTCAGTCTCATTTTCTTCCCCCCAACATTAATAATTTGTAATTATTGTCCAGTCTGTTGTTTGAAGATGTGGAAGGACGTGCTAGTAATTCCTGAAAACTACTTCTCACCTGATCAATCATATCTTAGTATATATTCCATTTCTTTATTTGCTTTTTTGTGCAATTTGAATGGAAAACTTCAAGCAAACGTGCATTTTTGAAAAATTTGCACTGGCATAAGTCTGTCCTGTATTATCACCAGCAATCTCTTTATGTCCCCTGAGAAGGGGACATCAGAGTGGTTTGCTAGATTTACAATGTCCCCTCAAAGAGGACATCTTCGTGCAAAGTCTTAAGAGAAATGCTTTCTTATTTCCCCTTTAAACTTGAGGCTAACTTCTGGTGGATTGAGATAGATAATTTTTAATATATTGAAAGTATTCATGTATCCTTATATTACAATGAGTTTTCATCAACAGTGGATGTTAAATTTGGTAAATACCTTTTTAGCATTCATTGATATGACTATGTGATTTGTTCCCCCTTCCAATCTATTAGAAATAAATATCATATGAGTAGGTCTCATCTTTAACCACCCTTCCATTTCTGGGATAAACTCCACATGGTCAAGTAGTATTAGCTTTTTAATATTCACTACTTTCTTTGACAGGTTTATCATGTTCATTCTGATAGCTATGAGACACAAAACCAGCACTATGGAAGAAGCTTAACAAAAGAAACTATAAAGGATGGTAAGTATTAAAAAAAAACTGATGTTTTTATCATTGGACACTTAACAAAATAATTCTAAAGTTATTAATTCAGCTTTATTTCTTGTTTGGAATAGGAATTTGATTCATAAGAAATAAACTTTTTTTAAAAATGAAACTTAGATTATAGGATAGGATTAATTATAACCTCTAGTACATGATACACCAAAATTATGGGAATATGAATGACCCTCTTTTACATTTTCATATATTTATTATTAATTTACTTTAAAAAAATAATGAACATCTGTGAACCAACCATCTAGCTCAATACTGGCATTAGAGGTTGTCTATATAGATCATAGTATATTAAAACTGCTTGTCACACAACAGACTTTAAAATGTATGTTGTAGCATGTAACCTTTTTAAAAATGTTTTTTTAATTTTAAAGATGTAGGATACAATTCAGGATTAGGTATACAAGTGGACGTTATACAGGTAAAGTTTGCACCTCCCTTTGGTCCTTACTTCACCTATTTGAGTTCAGGTACCTTTACTGATATGCTGTGCCCCTCCTCCCCACCCCCAACTTCCTTGGCAGTTTCCTGCTACTGCCAATCCCTTTCTTATAGTGTTATGATAAATGTTCAGAGTCCACTTATTCGTGAGAACATGTGGTACTAAGTTATTTGTTTCTGTGATAGATCACTGAGTATTATAGACTCTAAGTACATCCAAGTTGCTGAAAAGTCCTTTTGTTTGTCCTTTATGGCTGCATAATATTGCATTTAGTATATACCACATTTTTTTTTTTTATCTAGTCCACTTTTGATGGGCAGCACACTTGGTTCATGTGTTTGCTATTATGAATAATGCTACAATAAATGTGTGCTGGTATCTTTTTTACAGAATGATTTGAGTTCCTCTGGGTATATTCCCAGAAGGGGGATTGCTGGGTTGTGTAGAAGGTCAAGTTTTAGACTTTTTAGGAATCGCCACACTTGTCCACAGAGATTGTACTAGTTTATACTCTCTCCAACAGTGTAGGAGCATACTCTTCCCTGCATCTTCTCCAGCATCTGTTGTTTTTCGAATTATTGATGATGACCATTCTGACTGGAGTTACACAGTATCTCAGTGTGGTTTTAATTTGCATTTCTTTGATGATTAATGAGGCTGACCATTTTTTTCATGCATCTGTTGGCTGCTCATGTGTCTTCTTTTGAGAAGTGTCTATTAATATCTTTTGCCCACTTTTCAATAGGGCTGTTTATTTTTTTATTTTTGACACATTTGAGTTTCCTGTTGATCCTGAATTTTAGGCCTTTGATAGATATACAGCTGGCAAATATTTTTTCCCAATCTGTGGACTGTTTCCCTGCTCTCCTGATGATGTCTTTTGCCTTGCAGAAGCTTTTCAGTTTGATGAGGTTCAACTTGTCTATCTTATCTCTTATGGCATGAGCATTTGGGGTTTTGTTCAGAAATTGCTTCCTTATTCCAATTTCCATAAGGGTGTCTCCTGCATTTTCGAAGATTCTTGCAGTGTGAGGTTTTATGTTTAGGTCTTGAATCATTTAGAGTTGATTTTTATGTATGGTATTAGGTAGGGGTCCTGTTTCAATCTTCTGCATGTGGTCAGCCAGTTTTCTCAACACATGTGCTGAATAGATTCTCCTGGAGGCCTTGTCAAAGATGAGTTGGTTAAGAAACTAAGATTTTACTTCCAGAATCTTGATCGTGTACCATTGGTCCATATGCCTGTTCTTGTACCAATACCAGGTTGTTCTGATTATTGTAGCCTTACAATAAAGTTTAAAGTCTGGACATGTGATACTTCCTGCTTTGTTTCTTTTGCTGAGGATTGTTTTGGCTATTCATGGTTGTTTATGTTTCCATATGTTTTTCTGTATTACCGTTTCCACGTCTGAGAAGAGTGATGTTGGTAATTTAATGAATCTGTAGATTGCCTTTGGTAGGATGGGCATCTTAACAATCATGATCCTTCCAGTCTATGAGTATGGAATGTTTTTCCATTTGTTTGTGTCATTTTTGATTTCTTCGAACAGTGTTTTATAGTTTTCATTGTAAAGGTCTTTCACTTTTCCGGTTAGGAAGATACAGAGGTATTTCATTTTGTGTGTGGCTATTGCGAATGGGATTGTACTTTTTATTTGTTTCTCTTCCTCTTTGTTGTTGGTATATAAAAATGTGACTGTCTTTTGCACTTTTATTTGTACTCTGAGACTTTGCCAAAGTCCTTTATCAGTACAAGGAGGTGTTTTTCAGATTCTTTTGGATTTTCAAGGTATGGGATCACGTTGTCAGGAAAGAGAGATACTTAACGTCCTCTTTTCCTATTTGGATACCTGCGGGGGTCCTCTCCCACAAGGGTGTGAGGTTTCCTGAAGGAGAGACGGACCCCTTCGAAGGTGAAAGAAGGAACTTCACACCCTTGTGGGAGAGGACCCCCGCAAGTGGCACCCAATATGGGGCTTCTATGACCTTCAAAGCTTCGTAATCGCCTCTCTTGTCCAGGTGTCTTAATTACTTTTCTCTTATCCTGCAGTGTTTATTTCTAAAGAAAACTCAAAAGAAGCTTTTAGTGATGTTTCCCAGGCCCCCAAGGTTGCTTTCTGTATTTAGTTAATTTATCATAGACATATCCAATTAGTATATTATGAATTCAGTGAAAACCACTCTATAAACGTTAGCTTGAAATTTTAACTATAGAGTTAAGTAAAAACCTTAACGATTAATCTTCATCCTAAGTCTGTAAAAACAGTGTTATAAATCACCTACATAACTCCTAGATAAGTGTTAGAACTTATAATGAATTCATAATGAACTTACTGTAAACTTGTGCTTCTAAAAAACCTTATGTCTAAACACTAAACTGCATAATTCTAAATCAAATAAGGAGTGAATATACTTATATCATTTTTTACTCAAGCAATATCTAGTAACGTGTAACCAAGTGAAAGAAAGCGTTCTTGATGTGCTTCAGAGTTTAACCCTTGCATATGTTAGAAAAGCCCAAACAGCATAGTGGGAAATGGAAAAATGAACCATGACATTCTCAGGTTAGCTGTGAGTACTTCACATAAACATGTTTTCTTCATGCTCGACTGTACAGAATTCTTCGGCCGTACCAACAGCAAAGATGGAAGACAGAAGGGCCTCAGCTGCCTGGACTCACTTTGCGGCTGGGGATACTCAGCGCACCTGGACTTTGTCAATCAGGCGGGCCTCCAAGGCTGGCTCCCAACAGATACCCATGATTTTCTTCTCTTGTCTGATCTAGCAAGGACTTCCAACACTGTTGAACAAAAGAGCTGAGTTGGGGAGCCTTGCCTTGTTCTGGTTTTCATGGGAAATGCTTCCAATTTCTGTCTCTTTAGCAATATGTTAGCTATGGGTTTATCGTAGATGGCTTTTACTATTTTGAGGTTTGCCTAGGTGTTCAAGGCTTTTTATCAAGAAGTGATGTTGGATTTTATTCAAAGCTTTTTCTGCATCTAATGACATAATGTGGTTCTTGTTTTTACATCTGTTGTATTTAATTACATTTATGGTCTTGTGGATGTTGAACAAACCCTGCATCTCAGGGATGAAAGCTACTTGGTTATGGTGGATGATTTTTGAGATGTGTTGTTGGATCTGACTTGCTAGAATCTTGTTGAGTATTTTAGCATTCATGCCCTGTAGTTCTCTTTCTTTCTTTGATCTTTACCTGGTTTGGGTATCAGTGTGATTTTAGCTTCATAAAATGATTTGGAGACACTTCTGTCTTTCTTGATTGTCTGGAAACTTTCAATAGGATTGATATCAGCTCCTCCTTGTATGTTTTGGAGAATTCTTCTGGAAAGCCATCTAATCCAGGGCTTTTATTTGTAAGTAGTTTTCTTATGATGGAGTCAGTTTCCTGGGTTGTTATTGGTCTATTTAGTGTCTCAATTTCTTCTTGTTTCAACCTTGGTAGGTTGTGCAATGTCAGAAAGCCATTCATTTCATTTAGGTTATCATTCGTTTCCATACAGGTGTACATAATAATCTCTGATAATCTTTTGGATTTCTTCATCTCTACAATAAATAAAAAATTAGCCGGGTGTGGTGGCGTACACCAGTAATTCCAGCTACTTGAAAGGTTGAGGCAGAAGGATTGCCTGAGCCCAGCAGGTCAAGGCTGCAGTGGCCATGAGCATGCCACTGCACTCTAGCCTGGGCAACAGAGTGAGACTAAAACTCAAAAAGAAAAAGTTCTACTTTGACTCTTGGTTTTAGATTAGCTCTTACACATGACACCAACAAACAAGTAATTTAAATGTAAAATCTCTCACAGTGGCAAATGGAACAAATTTTGAAATCACATTTCTTAAGAGAATATGGAGAAAGTACTAAACTGCCAGTTTACCTGTAATGAGTTTCTTTTTTGTCTAAAGATAGAATATTTCATGTTACATTGTGTCATTCAAATGTTTTCTAAGGCTGAGTGTCGTAGCTCATGCCTGTAATCAGCACTTTGGGAAGCCGAGGCAGGATTGCTTGAGCACAGGAGTTTTAGACCAGCCTAGGCAACGTAGCGAGATCCTCTCTATATGAAAAATAAAAACATTAACCAGGCATGGTGGTGCATGCCTATAGACCCAGCTACTTAGGAGGCTGAAGTGGAAGGATCACCTGAGCCTGTGGGTCAAGGCTGCAGTGAGCTGTGATTGTGCCACTGCACTCCAGCATGGGTGACACAGAGTGAGACCTCAACTCAAAAAAAAATGTTATTCTTAGCTGTACTAAGTAAGATAGAGAGGAGTTTATGTGTAAAGAGTTTGTAGAAGAATTCTTACTTTATGTAAAGAAAACAAACATCTATAATGTGTGCTTCACAATTAGACCACCTTCACCAGAAATTAAGTTGAGGTCTAAGTTTCCATGTCTGACTAGAATTCTTAGATTCCAGAATTACCTGTTCACTTACTTGTAAGGGATGATGAAGGAAAAAACTGAAAAATTGTATCTACAATGAATTTGCTTCCCAAGTGATAGCTATTTCATAATTTGATTATAATCCTAATATTTTTCTCTTTATAGGTGTCTCCAGGTTTTTTCATAATGGATTTTGCTTAAGAAAAGATGCTATTGCAGCCAGTATTCAGAAGATTGAGAAAATTCTGCAGTGGTTTGAAAGCCAGAAGCAACTTAACTTTTATGCAAGTTCATTACTATTTGTTTATGAAGGTTCATCTCAGCCAACCACTACAAAATTGAATGACAGAACTTTGGCAGAAAAGTTTTTGTCCAAAGGACAACTGTCAGACGCAGAAGTACTGGAGTACAATAATAACTTTCATGTGTTAAGTTCCACGGCAAATGGAAAAATAGAGGCTTCAGTAGGCAAAAGCTTGTCCAAGATATATGCTCATCACAGAAAAATGTATTCAAAAAAGCATCACAGTCAGACTTCATTGAAAGTTGAAAATATGGAGCAAGACAATGGGTGGAAAAGCATGTCACAGGAACATTTAAATGGAAATGTACTTTCCCAACTGGAAAAAGTTTTCTACCATCTTCCCACTGGTTGCCAAGAGATTGCAGAAGTGGAAGTGCGAATGATAGATTTTGCTCATGTGTTCCCTAGCAACACCTTAGATGAGGGATATGTTTATGGGCTAAAGCATTTAATTACTGTACTTCGAAGTATTTTAGACAATTGAATCCTTTGCTGCAGTCTTTTTAAGGGGTGGGCCAGTCATACTGAAGAGCAGCAGCCACTATTTCTGCGCCTGTCTTGCTGTGTAAAAACTTTGTGAGTCGATGTTTATTTGTCTTTATACTTTTGGAAGAAAGGTTAACTTTTTTATAATCTTACTCAGGAAAACTAATTATTTGTTCATTAGAAAACTATGAAGAATAAAGAAACTTAGGAATGTTAAGCAGGGAATGTGGTGGTACATGGCTTAAACATCTATTTGGCTCAAGCAAAATGCAAACCATTATTTAGTCATTGACAGTTTAGTTAGCTTTCTGTAGCCAATTTATCATGAAATCTCTGTCCACCCAACCTTGACAATGAGCCATATCTAACTATTACATTATTAGAACACCTACAAAACTCTAGAAAGCACAGATTGATATCCTTAGTATTGCTATATATGAAATTATTAAAACTGGAGAAAATTCTACTTCAGAAATACGTACTGTTTAGGTTTTATATTAAAAGTTGAGACCAGCATATCAAAAGGTGCTTCTTAGTGAAATGATTTAGAATTGTTGCATTCCAAAAGCAGGTTTTCCCTTCAATTTTCTATATATATATATATATATATATATATATATATATATATACACACACACATACATACATACACGCTTTATGAAAAAAGATAATTGACATGAACAGCAACAACAACAAACCTTGAAATTAAGGGCACTAATTATTCTTACCAGGGTTAAGAGTAAGGAGATATTGTTTTCAAGGAACAAAATATTTTCTTTATAATCTTTCATTTATAGGAACATTGGAATAAGTATTTATTACAATTTGAAAAGTATCATAAACCATCTAATACCTTTTTCTCTAACTTCAACTTCAAAAAAGTGAATGACTGAAGCTTTATTTTTTCTTTTAAGTAGAGTTCTTTCCTTTAAAAATTCATATACTTATATGTTCCCATTTAGTTTAGCAGTAGTATAAATTATGTTGCTAAAAGTAGTATCTCAGAATTCTGTTAAGCAATGAAAGATAATATTCAATCATGTGTTATCAAAAGTACCATGTGTAAATTAGTGCATCATATAGAGCTTGGTGCGAATTCAAATTCATGCTTCTATTTCACTCTTACTCAAAACAGTTTTATATCATATTCAACAGAGGAATCATAATTTAATTTCATGGGGTCAAGGGTAAAGCTACTTTTCCTGGAAAAATTAGATTTGTAAGTATTATCTTTATTTCACACCCACCACCTTTAAGAAAATAGGTAGATATTTGTTGTTGAGAACATTAAAAACTCTGAAATTGAATTTTCAAATACATTCGATGTTAATGGTGTTATTACTTGCACTTTGACTCACTAATAACACATCTAAGTAGTTTAGTAGTTTTGTCATATTTCTGGAAAATGTTAACGAGTTGTGAATTGTTAGACCTTTTTTTCCCTCTTTTCCTTCCAAAGTTATAAATTACACTTTTAAATCCAAGTACTTTTGTTGTGGTGTGGAGAAAAGTATCATAATTTTATGTTTTTCTTGCCTTCCCAACCCTCTCTGGGGATGCTTTGCAATACCTGAGTCCAAACAGAAGTACCAAATGCTCTGTGAATTCGATACTTAGTTGATCTATTAAACCAGGAAAACTTTAAAATTTATATGCATTTTATTATGGCAAACTGATTGTTTTGCATTTTTAAAATTTAGAATTAGTATATTTTTCTTAAGTACTTCCAGTTTTTCTCCACTGTCCAAATGGGTACTGGCTACAGTGTTTTGGGTTTCTTTTTTCTCTTACAATATGGAATTTTGTTGTTGTTGTTAGTTGGATAGTGGTTCAGTAAATGTTAAGCTCAGATAACTAAACACTATTTCAAATCTTAACAAGATAAGAGGCTTTTCTTGTGTGGAATGGTATCAGCCTATGTACAGTGAATTAAATGAACTTAAGTGTTATCAGATATTTTGCACATTTTAGCTCAATAAAGTCTGAATTAGCTGTTCCAGATTTTCTTTATCTATGTTTGGAAATATAGTTTTATAAAATCAATGTCTTTTGATTCAGTCATATTTTATTGTAGTGAAACAAGAAACTCTTTTTTTGTTTTTTCAGGGAAGGGATTAACATTTAATTGTTTGTTTACATTTTTAAATCACTGTTATCCAGTACTCATTTTATGTTACTTTATAAGTAAGCTTACATGTAACAAAATAGATATCTGTTTATGTAATCTATGTGTGACTGTCTTGCCATCTCGTCCAGTCATTTAAAATTATGTTGAAATTTACCACTGTGGGGATGAATAATCACTATTCACCAATTGCATTTGAACATGTAAATGTTAAGAAATGAGCATAATGAGGATATAGTTTGGGTTAATAGGATTATCATCGTTTTTTCTCCCCCTAGGAAACGTAAGTAATGATTTCAGTGTATTTCTCATAAAATGCACTCATTTAAAAAGAACTTTAAGAAATTGTGGATGTGAATAATACATTTGTCTAATAAAAATTTAAATTGTATAATAGTTTTATAATAAAGTATTTACATTAATTGATATTTTAATATGGATGATAATTGCATAGATTCAGATAAAATCGATAAACGCTGAATATTTTATCTAAATAGTTTTTCAAGAAGCAGTTATGAAAATGTGTATAGTAAATGACTCACATGGGGCTTGTGGTATTTCAACTCAGTATTCATTATTCTTTGTTTTATGTGTCTGTAAAGATTATGCTTACTTTGCCACTTTACACTACAATTTGCCGTTGTGGGGTTCTAGATTGTGTTCAACTGAATAAGAACTTTTTCCTGAATTTCAGTTGAGTCTAATTTAGTATATTATGATTTTCAAAATGATGTTCTTCATAGTTTGTCTATAAAGTCAGTATATGAGATTTATAACATCACTTTAGAGGAATTAATGTTTATAGATATTTCTGTTGCAATTATTTTTTCATGAGACTGAAAACATTTCTAGGGTTTGGAATGCTGTAGATGATGTACATGAAAGAAACAATAGAACGGTGAAAAGAATTTTATGTATGAACTACAGAAATTGGGTTCACTATTGCAAAGCATTGGTCATTATTCTAGTACATTTTCTCTTAGCAGTTTGGCATTTTATACTTTAAAACTTAATTTGCTTTAAAAATGGTTTACAATGCTTTGTAATTATCTTCCTTATCCTGAGCCTTTAACCTTAATTTGATACATTTATATCCTCAGTTACCCCTACTTTTACATCTTATAATGTTTTCATAGCCTAGGAGAAGTCAATTTCTTTAATAATTGTCAATCTGATTATCTAAAGAGGTAGCAATTACCTGTTAATGCTTTTGGAAAACAAGTAGACTTACCTTTGGAGGCAAGCTTCTCAGTTCATTCAAAAATATTGGATTATACCATGTATCAGCATTTTTAGCTACCCATTATATAGTTGTGAACCAATCAGTCAAGGCCCTAACCATTTCCAGCATTCTTTCTAGATGGAGTGGGACTGGGAATTAATAAAAATAGAGATATAGAGAAACATACATTTACACATAATAAAGGTATTTGAGTTTTGTGTAAAGATAAAGCAAGAATTGGGATGAAGCAACTAACAGTATGTTAGAGAGGTTAGAAATAACATGTTTCAGCATTGCAACCTCAGTTTGGCTTTTAAGTTTGGGTATTATCGATAACATTCAAAAGCCTTAATTTTTCACTTTCCTTGCTGGTAAAGGTATGTTTACTTTGTCCATTTAGAGTAATGTTTAACATAATATTACTGTGTAAAACATTCCATTACATAGTCACAAGCAAATTATCTGCACATTCTTTGTTGTATTTTTTACAATTTAGTACAAATATTTTCGGCCTCAATCATCTCTTCAAATCACTGGTATTTTAAATTTGGCAATAAGTATGAAATTACCTTTTTTACTTACAGAGTGATTGTATTATTACTTTAAAACAATATTTAGAAGGCTTGGTGCCTCCATCTTTTTTGAGTTAAAATTTAACTTCTCGTTACTTATTTTAACAGCCTTTAGTAAGTGGCATTAGTACTCATGCATTTAACTTGGTATATGCGTTCAGTAAATTTTTAGTTTTTACATTTTGTCATTGAGGTTAAATTTTTGGCCTGGTGTTCACTTAAAATATATATTAACAGTTTATGCAGTGAAATAGTCTTAAGTATGATGTATGATGTACCTGCATATAAATGAAAATGGTGTGCACAAAGACACTTTACTATGGGAACTGTACTGGAAGATTCATGAAAGCATGTGAAATTGCACCTAAAATTGTATTATTAGTGACTATAAGCAGCAATGCTGAATTTATTGTACTTGATGAATGAATGTATTTAGTCACCGTTGCTTTGGTTTAAATGTCTAAATGTCCAGTTTTTTAAAAAATGTGTTTGTGATTTGTACTATTGGGGGGATTCTTGGACTGCGGGGGTTATTGTCAGTGTGCGATTTGTGTTTTTATTTTATAGAATCATCTAATGTGATACACCAATTTTTATAAGTGGTATTTAGATAATTCTAATAACTGTATATTTGACAACCTATTAAAATGTTTTGCATTGGAACCTTTTTCATTAATTGTAACATGCTAACAATCTCACAGTACTTTAATTCATTTATTCAACAAATATTTGAATGCATGTTATGTACCAGTAACTACAGGAATAATCAGAGATTCAGAGATGATTAAGGCAGGGTGTTAGTAGAAAGAAGCATGAACTTTGGAAATGATAAAGTTGGTTAACTATTTTGTATGAATATTTGTTTTTATGATATGGGCTAAAATCTTTGGCGTCAACCTAGTAGGAATAGTGGGCTATAGGAAAACAAATTGATGTGGCTCTGGAAACACATACGATAATTTTAAAAGTTAAGAAGTTGGTAAGGTTTTTCTTTATGGCATGTATTTGAAATTTCAGGAATTGGTTACCTAATCAATGACCAAGAGGTCATTGTCATCAAGCACTTTTCTACCAGCACTGTTTTTGGCTGTAGAAATTTTAAAAAGTTGAATAATATTCAGTACATATTCTCAAGATATATACTATCTGGTAGAGAGAAAAAAACACATCAATGTGCGATAAAATGTTGAAGCTGTAATTGCAACTTCTCAAAATCCAGCAAGGTTGTGAAGGGAGGGGAGTCCATTTTAATAGCAGACAAGAGGAAGAAGAGGGTATGTGATTCATAACATTGTAGCGCTCAAGAAGGTCATGTTGAATTCCTCCTTAATTCCCTTTTCCGTGTGTATGCTATGAGGAGGAGCAATATTATGTAAAGCAGTTTCTTCTCTTGAACGGCTGTCTCAGTCTGACTGCTGAAAATAAAAGGGAACCCCACTGCTGTAGTTTCCAAGTCATAGCTAAGTGTAAAGATAGTAAAAGCTGAAGGGACATGATAAAAATAATTATAAAATAATGAAAATCACTCGGAGATTTTGTTCAAATGCGGATTCTAATTAAGTAAGCCTGGAAGGGGCCTGTGATGCTACTGGTTCGTGGACCACACTTTGAGTAGTAAGATGTGCAAACAATTCCTTGGAGGTGGGGTGTGTGGTAAAGCTTGGAAAATGTTGAACAGAGACTCAACCAA